ATGCCCACATTCAGACTGTGCTGGGGTGATGCTCCCATTGAGGCAATGGTGTGGTAAGTCTTCTTCTAGAGTACCTCTAGACATCTCCTCACAGACACGCCCAGAGACTGGTCTCCTAGGTGATTCTAGATCCTGTCAAGTTGACAGACTAAGTTAACCATCCCATCTCCCAAAGGCAACACAGGCTGGAAGCCAAGCCTTTAGCACACGCACCTTTGGAGGAATGCAGATAGCACCAGATGGACGCTATCACAGTGAATTAGATGAGGATATTGGGTTGATATCCCAGGAAGAGACAGTCAGTTCATCCTTCACACTTCCTAGCTCCCTGTGGTTGTCTGAAATTAGCTCTCTGCTGCTGATTGTACAGAATCTGTGAGATTACTGGAGCGACTGTTCTGCTATAATAGAATGCTGGATTGTAGATTGCTGTGTGAAACACGAAGCCAAGGTTTAAGCATCCCCAGAGTTTCACCGCTGCAGTTTGGGTTCATGCTGTCTGGTGTCCTGTCCTTGAGGCTCCAGAGCTGCTCTTCTTAAGGAGACAGCGCCTCCTGGTGGAAGGTTATAGAGCAGTGCCTGGGAAGCTGCCTCAGCCTATGGTGGTAAACAGGGCAGCCTGTCTCCTGATAGTATTTACCATCTATCTTTGCCTGTAGCAAGACAGAGCATAGCACCAAACAGACCCATCACAGGAAAAAGTATCTGCAGGTAGTGGGCAGTATGGCCATAGTATTGGTTTACTTTGGCCTAAGGATCTCAAGGTATCCTGGAAACTTAATGTTTTATGCCAGAGATTAAACTGAGAGCCTCAGACATTCTAAGTATGTGCTGTTGCTAAACTACACCCCAAGTCCTGAAAGTGTTAGTAATTTTAATTGCTACCAATCCTTGCTGCTTCCTGGAACACTGTGGTAATAAGGCAGTATTTGTGATGGGCACAGGCTCCTGTAAAGCGTGTGCCCAGACATTTGATATAAACGTTGATCTGCCCCCCAAATAAAATAAAACCAAGCCGTTTTTAGCAGTTTTAAGGGCTATAGCATTCTGCAAAGAGATGCTTTGTTATCCCCTAACACACATATAGTCGCTAAGTCGCCCTCAGTCAAGGAGACAGGAAGCCATAATAAACACCCGTGGGGGTGGTTCTGATGGCCTGAGCCAAGCTTGCCTTCTTACTTCTCCCACCTTTGCTTTGCTTCACAAGGTGACAAGTGGCCGGAAAGTGTCCTCTTGGTCTCTCGCAGTCTCTCTTTAATGTTTTCAAAACACTAGCTAATCGTTTCCCGTCAGTGGCAACATAGCATATGGCGGAGGCCTCTGGATAGGGACCAGGGCAAGCGTTAATGGAGAGCCATGAGCAAGCTGCCCAAACAGAGCAGCGGAAGCAGCTGAAAGCTCTGTGTGCAGATCTGGGTGGGGCAAGGCATTAGCCAGTGCCCCTGGTGGCAATGGATGAAGTGTCTGGGCAGGAACAGTGGCTCACTAGAAGCAAGGTTCCCTGGTGATCACGCAGGAAAAGCAGGGGTTCATTTGGTTATGGACAGTTGGGAATTAGAGATGGAGCTAGCCATGGGAAAGGCATGAGGTCCAGTTCTGACCATTTAGCTGGGTGCACCGCAGGCTCGGGTGTAGCTTTCCAGGATGGCGGTCTATACTAGTATCAGCTTCTTTGCCCCAAGGTGGGCTACCTCTTCTATAATGAGGGTTCATGATGCAGAGGCTCCTCTGCGTTTTCATGGAAACAGGGCCTTGGACTCTCAGCAGGTCCATCTGAGCAGCTATAAAACTTCCTTGAGAGTGTTCTATCTGCTGTCCACTGAGCCCAGGCAAGCTGGCCTCACACATCTCTCTGTCCTCATACCTAATAGGTTTTCATGATGAGGTCAGACCTAACCTTGTATCTTCCTCACCTACACCCTGCCCTGAATCCACTGTGACACACTGGCCACCCAGCCTGTGGATCCATGGGCATAGTCAGTGTGTGAGGCCATCTGGCCCATGTCCCCTGTTCCTTCTAAGCCTGGCTTGGCTCTGAAGGTTCCATGATTGCTGGGTCTGTTTTCTGAGTCCTTCCCTATGTAGGAGAGGGCTTTCCAGTGTGCAGTGAAGCCAGTACAAGGAAGAGATGCCACAAACATGTCCTCACAATGTTCCTAAGCCACACCGCTGTACTCACTGTGCCTGCTTTCTCCTCCCTAGGACATCATTAATTCCATGAGCAACAGCCCTGCCACCAGCAAGCCCCCAGTGACACTGCGACTCGTGGTCCCTGCCAGCCAGTGTGGGTCCCTGATTGGCAAAGGTGGTTCCAAGATCAAGGAGATCCGAGAGGTACTGCCCATCCTATCACATGTCTCCCACGCAGTCTGTAAGTGCTTGAGCTGATGCCACTGCCCCTGGTGGCTCAAAGCTGGTGTCCAAATGTAACAGATGACCCGATTTGCCAGTGAGAGGTGGGGTGTGGGGAAGGCTGCCACACTGGTGTGTACACACAGTGGCCTGTTCCAGAAGTGACCCTGCACAAGAACAAGGATGGGGTGGAGATCCTTGGACAGGCAGATTTTAGCACCCAAGTTCCGTGGCTCTGGGCATACTCTGGGCCTGAGAGATGCCACTTTGTCCTTTAGGGCCTACCCCCTGGGATGATTTTAATGGAGTCTGAACTTGATGTGGGTTTGACATTGAAAATACATTACTTCCAGGAAGGCTAAGCCCTTCCCTTAGCCAGGAAAACAGTCACCCCTTCTTGATTCCTTCCCGTCCTCTTCTGTGACTTCGAAGATGCTAAGAAGCCTGACTCTTGGCAAATGCCTGGTTCACCCTGTGGGACCCCTAACATTGTCACTGAAGTTTGTGGGGCTCGCTTGATTCTAGCAGTCACTGGAGGTATTTGGTGGCCAGACATTAAGAGCAGGCGGGTCCCAGGCTTCCTGGCCTCCGAGTGACCTACTTCCATGGAGGAAGAAGAATTCCCTATTTCCCTGGAGACTCTCCTCTACAGCAGCGGTTCTCAACCTATGGGTCTCGACCCCTTTGGAGGTCAAACGGCCATTTCACAGGGGTCGCCTAAGACTATTGAAAACTCTGATAGTTACATTACGACTCTAACAGTGGCAAAATTACAGTTATGAAGTAACAACAAAAATAGTTTTATGATTGAGGGTCACTACCACGTGAGGAACTGTATTAAAGGGTTGCAGTGTTAGGAAGGTTGAGAACCGCGGCTGTACACTTGCTGAGGTGGGACAGTGCCATTCAGTCCAGGAAGACACAGCTTCCTCAGAGGATGTGCAGAGGCAGGATTGAGGGACGGTGACATTTAGTAAGGTAAGGGAGGCTGGGCACCATGACCAGTTAAGGCTCCATTTCTAGTGAAGGGCTTTCACAGTGCAGACCACCCAGAGTGTGTCCCCAGGAATTGGGGTGCCGTTCCCCTTTTCATGTCACTGTCTCCAGTCTGCGGTCCTTCCAACGGCCCTTCTCTGCAGTCCACAGGTGCTCAGGTCCAGGTGGCAGGTGACATGCTGCCCAACTCCACAGAGCGGGCAGTGACTATCTCAGGGACCCCGGACGCCATCATCCAGTGTGTGAAACAGATCTGTGTGGTCATGCTGGAGGTACAGTATGAACATGGTGGGCCAGCATGCCCACCGTCACCTGCCCGCCTTGCTCAGGGCCTGGTACACTCTCTGTGATGTGTTAGCCTTGTCACTAAGGCTCCTGAGAAACTGGGTAGTCACTTAGGGTATGTGGGGATCAGACATCAAGGACAAGCAAATTCCAGGCTTGGGCTTCCTGGCCTCTGACACGAGCCAGGCAGGCTGAAGGGACACTCTTGGACGTGTCTCCTGATGGTAGCCCGTGGCCATCATCTTGTCTGGACGTTAGTGGCAGAGCATGGTGAGAGCGGGGGTGGGCACATCGTGAGGATTCAGCCTCGCAGTGGTAACTGCTCTGACTAGAGGCAGGTGTGGTGAAGGATAAGAGGATGTCTCCTGCCTGTCAGGCCATCCAGCACTTAGAGGTCTGCAGACTTGAAGGGAACTACTACCCTGGGTAGTACTGGGTAGGACTCAGACGGATCCAGGGAAATACAATGTGAAGAGAGAGATGTGGCGACAGAGGGGGAAGAGGAGAAAGAAGGAGCCACCAGACAGGAGCAGCCTCCTGAAGTTCCGGTCAGGGATGGAGAGAATTCATGGCAGCTTCTGCACTTGTGCCCTTCCCTCAAGCAACTTCTGTGACCCTTTCCAAACATGGCCTTTCATGTTTGGAACACCGCTGAGCTCTGCCCTCCCACAGGCCAAGCTGAGGCCACAGTCACATCTCCACAGAACTGAGCAGCTGCTGGGTCATCCACTCTGAGTCATGGTTAACTCTATTCTAAATGTTTGCATAGTTTTATTTTCCTAAGGCCTATCTTGTGAGGTTCAAGAAGTTTTACAAAATGTTATTCTCATGCAGACTTCCCCACACACTGGTCAGGGCGATAGGATGGTCCAATCCCAGGAGCCCAGAGGCTGAGGGTCATCACTAAAGACTACAGCTCCTGTACTGCCCTCTACCCCCAAACAGTGAGGCATGTACAGTCAACTCAGTGACACCCTTGAAGTGGCAAGGAGTGGTGGTAGCAGTTATACAGTGGACATCAGAGCCAGCAGCCCTCTTCTCAGGACAATATGTGTCGTTGTCAGAAGCTCCAAGCAGACTTCTGGGCTGATGGTAGCAGAGCCAGAGCCTGGGCGCTGTGTGTCAGAACTCGCCTCTCTAGATGGTATGAGAGAAACCATGGCTGTCCACATCATGGATGTCAGCCGTGCAGGCTGACCTAACAGAGTCACCCCCCTCTTATTTGCATGATGCAGTTTGCAAGAAGGGCGTGGCCTCCCTCACCAGGAAGGAAGAGGATGCAGTGGAAAGAGCCCCCCCTTCTACAGGAAGGGCAGCAAGGAAAAGGCAAAAGAAGGCTCCAAGATCCTGCTTGTCAATCAAAGGCCTTTAAAGCTTGCCTATGGGGTGTACCCTTTGTACCTCCACAGTAATGAAAACTACTGCACCCAGCAGATGTACTCGGATGAGGCCTGCAAAGAAAGCAAGTGTTGCCATTGTGGACCTCCTGCCCCACAGCCCTGGAGCCTCACACACCCCTGAGGAATGGGAAACCTCCAGGGCTGGCTTGCCCCGAGAATGTTGATGATGTAAGCCCAGAAGGTCACTTTTTTACAGGTGGATGAAAATGAAACTGGGCCTTCTGAATGGGCACAGGGGATCCCCATGTTGGGAGGGAAGCAGCCTGGAACACAGGTGACAGGGCCCTAGGATCTGGAGTACTTAGCCAGAACAATGTAGCAGCTACTGTAGGTCTGGAGACACTGTAGCTCTCTGCATGATCTCGTACCACAGGGCCCCAGCAAGGGGAAATATGGGCATTCCCAGGGGCCAGCACAGACAGAGTCCTTTGCCCATTACTGTCAGCTCACAGAGTAAAGGATGTTCCAAGGTCACATCCTCAGCGGGCTCTGGTGGGCAGAGATGGTCTGTGCTATAGTTACTTGTTGCTGTAACGGAACATCTGATAAAAGCAGCTTCAGTATAGGATGGTTTATTTTGGCTTCTACTGTGGGGGTGGGGTCAGGAAAGGCATGGTGTCAGGGTCAGAGGGCACCCGAGCATGCTGAATCTGCAGTCAGGAAGCTGAGGTTAATGAACAGGCCCCTTTCCCCCTTTGTACTCAGTGCAGGACTGCAGCCCATAGAATGGTGTTCCCCAGGCATGCTCAGATGCTAACCTAACCCAGACAGTTGCCACAGACATGCCCAGAGGCTTGTCTCCCAGGTTATTCTTTCAAGTTGAGAATATTAATCATTGGTCTGTCACATAGCCAAGAGCTCCGGCCTCTTCTGCCTTGGTAGCATCAGCTAGTGATATTGCCTGGAGCTGAGGGAGGCTGAGCACCTCTGACCAACCCAGAGAGGATAAGCTGGGACTTGTTGGGACCTGAGAACAGCATTCATCCGGGAGGAGAAGCCTACATTTGGGACCCAAGCGTAATCAAGGATGATTACAACGGAGTTCGTCCTTGTGGAATCTCATTCAGCCTCTGAAAGCTACCTAAGTTTTCCCTGGTGAAACGGAATGATTCTAAGCCATTTTAGCAGCCTCTGCTCTAGGCTAAGCAGACCGTGGGTCGCTACACACGTTGAGTTGTGCTCAACGTTGGCTTTTCCCAGGAACTGGTGTATCAAAGGATGCCAGCTGCTCCTCTGTGCAGTCACTGCCATATCTGCCGTCGGATCCCCACACCAGGAGGAAAGGGTTACAGCAGTGGTGCGCAAAGTCCAGGGGGTCAGCTAACCAACAAGCAGGTGGTCTACCTACCTTGGCACTCCTGTGGAACCCCGCTCCTGCCTGGCTGGCCACGAACAGGTCTATTAAGGATAGGTACCAAACCATGCAAGCTTAGAAGAAGGCTGGCCACCCCAGTGAAGAAGGCATTGAAGATGTAGAATTTAGCCTGCCTCAGTGTGCTGAGGACAGACTCATCTCCTTTTGATGGGCCTGGATGGCCCCTCCGCTCACCATGGTGGCCTGTTGGAACCTTTACTGGCCGCCTCCGGAGGGATGGGAGGGTGGGGTCCTACGGAGGGGTGGGCGTGGGAAGGCAGCCCAAGGCCAACAGCAAAGCTGTTCTAACCACTCTCTCCCTCTCCTGTCCCTTTTCCTAGTCCCCACCGAAAGGTGCCACCATTCCCTACCGCCCAAAGCCCGCCTCCACCCCTGTCATTTTTGCAGGTGGTCAGGTAAGAGCCGACCCGCTCGCGGCCTCCACTGCCAACCTCAGCCTTTTACTGCAGCATCCGCCGCTGCCCGTTAGTGCACTCAGGTTTTCTCGCCTTCTCACGTGCACGTCTCCCACCCTGCGATGGACACAGAGCTCTCTGGCTCACACCAGGCGGTGGGGGTGGGGTGGGGTGGGGGAGGCAGGACTGTAGCTCACAGCTACATCCCTTGGATACATTTTCCAGTGAGATCCCTGTAGGAGACAGGAGAGACCTCCAGACCCATGCAGATGTAGGCACTGTCTAGCCACACCTGCCAGACCTCCTCTGTGGGTGTTGTGCTGGGCAGCTTAAATTGGCAGAAACATTCTAGGTGGCTCTGACTGGGGTTTGGATCCTCTAGAGCTATGGGAACTAGGGTCCTGTTTCTCTCTGAAGCACATCTCAGACCTTACCATCATCCCCAGGGAGCAGCAGGCACATCCCTTTGAAGAGATGCATGGTCTCAAGGCTCGCCCATATTCCACTCTGGCTGGGATCCATCCCTGCTACCCCTTGCCTGCCTGACTAGACATCCTCACAGACAGGGAGCTCATAGTTATAAACCCCATCCTTGAGGATTTAGTGGCCAGCATCTGTCTCCTGGAGAAGAGCTTATGTCTGTGACCAGCGCTGGCCAGGAAGTGGGGACATTGGAGGAGGTCCCTATCTGGTCTCCTCACGTGCTCACTGAAACTCAGATGCCCCCCCTTAGGCCCACGAGACCCCACCCACACAGATGACCTGAACACAACCAGCCAGGGGTCCGCCCAGAAGAGCTCTGTGTCCTGTCGGCCGCGATGTGTGTCTTTGTTCAAGGGAGAGTTAAGTCAGAGACTCCCCATAGGTATCCCAGCTGACAGAGTGGACATGGGCTTTTACTGTATTATTCAAAAAGAAAAAGAAAGGCATAGAAAACTTCTCCCCTAGTCTTGCTTCACAATATCCAGAGAACAGCAGTAATGTGTTCAGCATGTGTGGGTCAGACCTGTTACCCCCATCTCCTTTCCTACTCTAACACATACATGCATGTATGCATGTGCATACACATACAACATGGTCTTCTGGCTCAGGTCTGCCTCATTGCTGGCAGAGAGTCCTGTGCCCTGATACAGACCAAGCATGTGACACATCCCACGGTACAGCGGGTCTTGCCCACCTCACAGCCTGAATGAGATTTAGAGCTGTGCTCTGGACCATGCTGATGTCAGAGATAGGGCTACACTGGCAAGCCCGTCAAGTTCTCTATTGTTCTCCCCAGATTCAGGGCTAGCTGACAGGTCAGGAACCAGTGTGAACGGTATCTCTCTGTCCCACGATAGCCTATGTGGATGGAATCCATGATACAATAAAATCCACAACAGGACTTTATTTAGAAGGCCTCTATGCAAATTAATGTACACTCGGTCATACTACATGACACAGTCACAGCCCCAATTCCAAGGGCAGCGCCACTATGGAGAAGTATCATGGCCAGTGTCCCCTGGTCCCATCTACCTATATAATGGTCAATAGTGCCCCCAACTCCAGTCACAGAAGTGACAGCCACTCTGTTATTATGTTTATCCCCTGACAGTGTTAGCCTTTTAAGAGAGCATCACCATTCCCTTGGGAACAGTGTGGTCTGGCCTTGATTGCCTTGGCTATCCATAGGAAACAGAGTCATAGGAGGGTCATCCTGCAGGGAAGCTTGTAGGTAAGCCAACATACAAGCTCAGAAGGAAAGATGTAACTTAGCTCTGGGTAGGTCCCCTCCGGGACTCCATCCCCATGTGTCCAAGACATGGGGTAGAGCCCAGAAGAGGCTGCCTGGGTATCCAACACTTTAGGAGGAGTAAATGAAGAGGCCTAGAATCTTCAGTAACCGACTCCGCAGCCATTGTTATGTGCCTGGCCAAGCTGATAACTCCCCCAGGTAGAAAGTACCGAGAAATGAGACAACCCTGGGTAGGGAGTGAGACATATAGTATTAGACACCAGCCCAGGCTGCGCTCTGCAGCTCTGCTCAGCCACATAGGGCTGGGAGGGAGCAGCAGGCCTCACAGTTCCCAGTGGTCCAGCCAGGAATGATAACGTGTTCCCTCCTCGGGTGATGCTCCTGGGGTAAGACTTGGAGATCATTCCTGACAGCAGTTTTCCAAAAGCCAAGACCACACCCCATCCCCCCTCTCCCATGGAGCAGCTAGCCTGTCTTTTTCTCCGTGGAACTGCCATATCTGCTAGGGTTATTTTTCTTCATCTGCTAGCACAGCAAGGTCATCCCATGACAGGCTTGCTGGCCTAGAGCCAGGTCCCTGTTAGGTTCTCACCTGGCCATGAGCCCCTGCATTGGGTTATGATTAGAAACTCTTAGCACATTGAAGAAAAAAAATATGGGAGGTTCTGGGTGGTAGATCCCCTGAGGAAACTCTTTCACATGTCCAGAGCCCTCAAGGGTGGGCCACAGGTGGTGGAAGCATGTCCTTACTCCTGTGCCTCCACCAGCATGGTGTGGCACTGCCCTGAAGCCAGACAGTTGTTGGTCATCTCGCTCTCCCTTGACTGTGTCGTTTGTCTGTTGTCTGAGTTGCCAAAGGGCATCATAGCTGAAGGGACCATTGAGGGCTCTGTCCCTGGGTTTCAGAGTGGGGCTAGATAGGAGAAGCCTGCAGAGTATACAGATTTGAAGCAAGGGAAATGGTGACACTGAAGGAGCCTTGGGGGCACCACACTGGCCTTCAGAGAGGAGCCCTGTCCCCTGAGAGATTCCATATAAGATTTGGTAAGACAAACAAGGTCAGTCCTGTGACCAATTTATACCCAATTGTTCCTATAGCTTTGACAAAAACTTTTACTGGTCACTTGTAAAAACCTCTATTGTCATTTGAATGTCTTGGGGGCTAAATCATAACCAGTGGTCCTTTACTGAGGGGTTTAAGTGGGTCATTCGTACATAGGTTTCCAATTTTAAGGATGTTCGGAGAGATCAGGGTTAGAAACAGCAGTTGGCCACAGCTCAGAGCAAGGGCAATTTTCCAGGACTCACCAACTGTAATTGAGACCCCTCTCCCCCATCCACAAACAGGGCCAGGTGGGTGGAGACATGCACTGATGGAGAACACTGTCCCCAGAAGGTTCTTAGCATCCTAGGGCACACTAGGCTGGGTCACTAGTGGCTAACAAGCTGAGGTCCCGCCACATCCCAAGCTGACTGACTGTCTCTTTCTCTCTCTGCTCCAGGCCTACACCATCCAGGGACAGTACGCCATCCCCCACCCAGATGTGAGTTTTCACTCTGCCCCTCCTCTCTCCCTCTCTTCATGACTGTGTACCTTCCTGCACGCTGCTGTTAATTGCTACTAATATTAATATTACACAATAATATTAATCCGTTTTCTCTGTGTCTCCTACGTCTGTCGTATCCATCTGACCTTGGATAATATTTTAACCTCTTAGCACTAATTCTTGCTTGTGTTGAGGACTTGGCCTGATGTCAAACTGCTGCCGTCCTGGGCTTCCCTCCCCCACACAGGCCTAGCCTTTTATCTGTGACCACAAATTGTCCTACCCACCCCCACAGTATGCTGGCCTGACAGAGTGTGGCTTGCCACCTGTGGCCATCGTGGGCAAGACACTTTCTGTGCACTTAAGTCAGGTCACATCATCACAACTATTCCCTCAAGGTGTCCTGAAAAGGGCATTCAGTGTGTAGCTGGGGACGCCAAACTTGAAGAGCCCAAACCAAAGCATGGATTCTACCCATGTAGAATTCTACAAAGGCCTAATTGTGACAGCCAAAAGGGGGGGGGGGGGGTGGAGGCTTCCAACTCTTGTAGTTTTTAGTAAGATGCTGAATGCGGAAGCGGACTCCTGGGCTCAGCCCTAAGCCTGTCTAGCTGGACCTATCACCTGTGCTTTGGCCTAGGTCTGTTCAGACATCTCCCGGTGGTGTGATGCTATGAATATAATATGATCTGTACTGGAGAATTCAAAACCTCCTGAGGGAGCCTGTGGGGATCAGGAGGAGAGTCTTAGACGGCCTCTTGGCTCACCTCCAGTGGAGAGCTGGGTACCAAAGGAAGAGGAGACACTAGGAGTGATGGTGTCGCTGAGTCTGTAGAAGCCAAGAGATCGTGGGCAGCAGCCACGAGCGCAGCACATCCTTTAGGGGCTTTGGAGATGCTAGTAGGTTCTAGGAGTCCAGGAAGGATTCGAGAGAGGGCAGAAAGAAGCAGGAGGGGAAAGAGCTACAGCCTCATGTGTTGGGAATTGAACCCAGGACCTCAAGCATGCTGGTCAAATAGTCTACTGCATTACGGAATTTCCAGCCCGTGCCTCTCTCCCTGGGTTCAGGGTTCAGCAGCTGCCCCTAGAACAGTCCCCTGTGTCCACTGCTCAGTGCCCTGAGACGCGCCGGCAGTGTCGGGAAAGCAGTTGAGCTGCTGTTCTTCTGGAGGCCTAGTCTTTTGAGTGGGGCAGGAAATAACACTAAATGAGTGTTAGTTATAGAAAATATGGATTCACTGTTGTTGCTTGGAAATTCCGGTAGTGAAAAATACATGTTGCTTTTTTTAAACCCTGTTGATAAAACAACACACAAACCATCGGAAAACTTGGGTGGGAAGATCCCTGCCCAGGCATGGCCATACCCACAAGGCCATGTTTGATGGTACCTGGATATAGATTGCCTGGGACTGCTATGCCTGAATTCATAGCATCTCACCCTGCGATACCACAGCAGACACATCTGCCCTTGGCTGCTTAGACACTGAGGCTGTGGGCCACCCTGACCAGAATATACCACAGTGGCTCTACTCATTCTGTCCCCAGCTGCCATGGCAGAGAAAGCAGAGCCTGTGTACTCATGACAGGCAGGGGCAGCCATTGTGGGTAGGTGATGAAACTAGGTAAAGGGGGCCAGGAAGGGCCAGGAAATCACTTCCAGGATGGCCCAGTCCTCTTGTGATGCTGGGGCAGGCATTTCCACCTATGTAGGAACACACACATACTGACGCAGACTTGGAAACCAGACTGTTGAGATTCAATGGCACTACAGAATTCAAACTGCAGCATCTAATAACCCAGTAGAAGGCTGTTGGAACCAGATTAAAGCTTATCAGGATTAAGTCACCAAAGCCAGATGGTCAAGGACTAACTGGAGGGGCGTCCTGTGGGTTTTCTGTAGCTTTCAGTGTCCCTTATGCAATGTAGACACTAGAGTTGATAGAACTAACTCTAATTTCAGGTCCTCCTGATTTACAGACCCGAGAGAGAGAGAGAGAGAGAGAGAGAGAGAGAGAGAGAGAGAGAGAGACAGAGAGAGAGAGACAGAGAGAGAGAGACAGAGAGAGAGAGATTGAGTGTTGGTTTTCCTGGCTTATTTCTGTGTCAGTGTGATATTGTCATCTTTCTCATATTCTCTGGATGGCTTAATGGGTAGTTTCTAAATGATTTCAGCTTTATTTAAACTAACAAGCAAATGTTGCTATTACCGCCTATGTCCTGTGAGGTTTGACATGTGCTGTGGTTTGTATGTATGTATCCTTTGACAGTCATGTATTCAAACTCAGTCACAAAGGTGTTAGTATTCAGAGGCAAGGTCTTCAGGAACTAGTTGAATCTTTGAGGTTCTTTCTCATGAGTGGATTAATGCACTTATAAAGCATCTGGGGAACTGACCTCCCTCTCCCATCTCTTCCACCATGTGAGGACATAGCGTTTCGGGTCCTGCTTTGAAAAATGAGCCGGGCTCTTACCAGCACAGAGCTTTCTGGAACCTTGATCATAGACACCCAGCTTCTATGCTTGGAGGCAGCAAATTCATGCTGTTGACAAATTGCCCATTCTACACGTCTTGCTAGAATAGCAAGAATGAACTAGCACCTCGGCCATTTGTCACGAGATGGCTTTTCCTATGACACTCATTCTATTTTCTGTAGCAAGATTATGTGATTTGTGAGCAAAACGTGGAACTTCTGAAAGAGCCTGTCTTTCACATACAAAATTGAAGACTTCAGATAATCCACATCAAAGAGGAATGAAATGGCTATTCAGTGACAGGTCTAATGAGAGCCAGGATGACTTTTATCTGAACTGAGGACGTGGAGGAGATTTTTTTTTTGAAGCTTAAATTTCTTAGAATGTAAGTATAGCTATTAGAAAATATTAATTGCATATGAAGTTCACCTCAGAGCAGTGGCAGTCATTGTTTAGATACTTAATTATTTACCTGAATAATCAGATCCACGAGTCAGACATGAGAACTATCAGGAGATTCATCCCTAGGATCTGACTATTCTCTATCTGGATGAGAACATGCACCTTTTCCGGGCCCCGTTTTAAGCAATGCTCTAAATGACTCTTGTTTTGAAATCATGCATCTGCTGACCCTCAGTCTCCTGTAGTGCCTGCCTGCCATGTATGAGAGATTTAACTCAGGATTCTAGAGCTTTCTGAGCTCCCAAGGCTCTGAGACACACACCTGAGCTGCAGAAACTATGAGAGGCCATGCCTAACACAGTCTGGTACATTCTCTGGACTCACAAGCCTTGCACAGTGCCCATTAACCTTTCCAACTGTTTCTCTCAGATGGCCACTCAGCAGGGTTAGGTGTCTGCACGCCTTCATGTCCATTTCTCTAGAATGGCCACTCAGTAGCTCTGGAAAGTGTTCATCAGAGACCCTTTGCATCCGATTCTCTGCTCTGAAGCCTTCCTCGGAAAGTGTCTAGGCACTTTGCATCCTGTAAGCATCAGTCAGGCTTAGTGTCAGAAATAAATAAGAAAGTGAAGCTGGGCAGTGGTGGTGCATGACTTTAATCCCAGCACTTGGGAGGCAGGCAGTTCGAGGCAAGCCTGGTCTACAGAGTGAGTTCCAGGACAGCCAGGGCTACACAGAGAAACCCTGTCTCGAAAAACCAAAAGAAAGAAAAGAAAAAGAAAAAGAAAAAAAGAAAAGAAAAGAAAAAAGAAAAGAAAGCGAAACAGCACTATGTCCCGGGACACAGGAGAGATACAGAAGGCACATAGAGAGAGCCTGGGCATACAGCTGAGCTATGGGGTGAACTGCTAGGTCCCTCACATCTTATGTCTCTGTCACTTTCCTTACACCAGTGACATTGAACCAAGACACAATTATTTTCCTCTGAGGACATCACAGATGGTCCCAGTTTACATTGAGCCAGGTACCAATGAAGACATGATAAATTGAAAGAATCCTAAGTTGAAAACTACAGAACTACTCCAACATACCTAGCATTCCAGATGGACACTGCTGCACTAAATGTCAGTGGCTTGCCTGAAGGACTAAATCACTGTTGCTACCCAGCATAAGGGACTACGGCTCATCTCTTACTAGTCCATAAAAGGGTCAAAATTCCCAGTACAGTTTGTATTGCGGCACAAGAGCATCCTAGGTCAGGACTGTCTGTAGTTAACTTCAAACCCACCCTCGGGTGTGAATCTCTTACCTCATCTTCAGCTTCCGAGTCGCCCCGCTAGCATCCCTGTTATTTAAAGGAAGCCTGAAAGCAAGTAAACATGAGACAGCAGCTTGATGAAACTGACCGAGACTATGTCTCTGTTCTCTCAACCTGACTCTACCCTCTTCCCGGGCCCTGTGCTCTCACTCTGCCTGTATCCTAACCTGCGCCTTGCACTAGCCTGTGACCTGGACCTCAGGGCCATCACTCACGTCCCAGAGGAGGATACTCTTAGGTCCCCTTGACAAGGACCCCTGAGAGTCAGGGGGAGAAGTGGCATTGCAGTGTGTCTGCAGCCACCATTAAGGACCCTGGGGGTGTAGAAGTTCTGGACCCGGTAAGATGTTTATTCTTTAGTTAGTACATCTTGAAAACTGCAGAGGCGTGAGAAAGGTGCATAGTCTGGATGCCGCATTGGCAATGCTGGCATTTGAGGTGATGAACCTTCTGAGGTGATGCCAGGTACTGCAGAGTGTTGTGCGGCTCCCTAGGGTGCCTCCCCTCCTATTTGTTCAATATCTGCCTCTGGAACCCTGTGGGAATGGGTGAGGATGCCCTTCCCTCTAATAGTGAGAAAGGAAGGAGCTAGCACACTCCCTGGCCATCAGCTGTCACCACACCTTCCGACTCTGTCCTCCTCCCAGATCCAGACTCCTCCATGGGTCTTTTTTGATTCTTCCTGCTAATAGTCAGAACAACTACAATGTGCCTCACAAAACCAAGGGGCCACATAGCCAGCTTCCATTCCCTGAAGCCTAGCCTTTTCTTCTCTCCCTCATTTCCTCTGTGGGCCCTCACTGCT